AGGATTTCAGCGGTCATTTCTAATACAAATACAACGTTTTTTTATTATGCAATTGAAAAATTTGTATCAAATTTAACACATTTTACATGTTCCACGATCTACTTAAATTTTTGTGTTGATTTAACACGAGATGAATATATTAGTGGATAATATAATTATTATATACAATAAAAGAATAAACATGAAGAAATAATAATAAAAAATTATATTGATACAATTTGTAAGTAAACTAGAATCATGCTTATTTCAGTATTAATGATGTGTTAAAATAATACGTATTTTATTTATTTATCTTGGAATTTATATTTTAAAATACACTAATTTCAATAACAATAATTATATTGGGATTCTTCTCGAATTTTAAACAATACAAAAAGATAAATATAATAGGCTAATGAGAATCAGCAACAATAAACGACGCAATTATTTAGTGAACAATTAATATTCATTGATGTCTTCTTTATTTTGAACGATTCAACTCTCTTTGGAGTCTTCCTCAGCAAGAATGATACAAGTATAATTAGCTCACATGTCCATAATGCTTAAGTCACTCGCAAATTGACAAAAATGCAGCGTTGTTAATCATCACGGAACATGAAACATTGCACTGAAGCTTTGTTGAACATATTAAAACTTAAAAAGCAGAATTGTTAAAATATAAAGATCACACATTTTTAGAACATACGTCCGTGTACGACGACGTGTCACTCATACTAATTTCATATTATTTGTTTATTTATTCATAAATTGTGTTATTTTGACATTAAAAAATGTTGAATACTAATTTAATACAAATAATATAATTACATTATGTAAAATTAATACTCGGATACGTTAAAAATTTAACACAAAATTTTTATAAAAATGTGAACTTTTAATATGAATATAAAGTATTTTTCAGAAAGCAAAAAAGGAGCAAGAAGCCATGTTAATTAATAGAATGCAAACATCCCAGGAAAAAGTATTTTATATATAATTATATTGTATATAGTTAATTTTATATGTAAGTATATAAATATATGCAATTATATATAAAATATATCCATTTATATAGAATTATATAAAATTGTATTATATAAAATTGTATATATTCTTATATAATTTTATATAATTAAATATAAAACATTTTTTCCTGGGATAAAATAAATTTAAACAAATAACGTTCTCTTCAGATAAGTTAATGCAATACGCAATAGAAATGAAGTATATGAAGTATTGAAAATTATTAAGTCAAATTGATTTTTTGTTTAAAAAGCAAGAAAGATTAGAGTCAACTTATAGCGAGCAAAACTTATGGCAAATTCAGCACACATGCACTAACTCTGCTTTAGTGACTTTACTGAGAGAAAGGATTTTGTTAATTTAGCAAACCACTAGTACCTTTAACCAGTGATCGATAAATATGTGACAACAAATTTCGTTGTTGCTAGTCTGCTACTATTATTATCAAATTATTAGTAATAGAAACAAACTATATAGAATCTAACTTATCTTTTGGATAGACTTTAGGCTTGTTTCGTAGATGATCCTGGAATCTTAAGTCGTAGGAAATCGACCAAGTACAGTCAAATG